GGAAGACGTGAACATCGACCTGCGCGATGGGCGGCTGACGATCTCTGCCGAGACCAAGATCTCTGAGGAGCATGAGCGCGGTGGGTACGCCGTCCGGGAGCGGCGCTTCGGTAAAGTGTCGCGAACACTGCAACTTCCTCAGGGTGTCAAGGTATGTTCAAAATTCTGATGTGCCTGTGTAACGAACTGCGAGACTGACCGGGGGTTTGGGATGCAGGAGGACGAGATCAAAGCGTCGATGGAGAATGGGGTGCTGACGGTGACGTTTCCCAAGACGGCGCAGGAACAAGCACCCAGGAAGATCACTATCGCCTAGAGTTTGCAACTTCTTGCGCGATAAGGAGAATGTGCCCTGTGTTAGTTTTGTAGTATAGTTTTTTGGACTCACAATCGGACAGTGTATGAACAACTTTCATCCAATTCCAGCCTGTTTTTCCAGCGTCTTCGTCATGCCCTTCATCGTCGCCCGCCTCACATCGGAGCGAATCTAGAAGCATACCACATATATCTCTGCCGCATTGGGGATACACATCGCCACGTCCTTCTCCTCGAGCAGGAACAGCTGCGAGGATGTGCCCCCTTTGCGCGGGAGGTGCTGGTTGTGGTGTTCGGGGGTGACGTACGGACGTCGCGAGGCACGCCGGAAGGTCGAAGTCGGTGTGACACAGTTAAAAGGGTTTCCTGGAGTTCATGAAGGGAAAAGTGACATGTATTAGTGTACATACATTAGTTAGAACTACTGTAGGCGCACCTGGAGTTCACGAAGGGAAAAGTGAACTCCAGTGAGCCGAGTAAACAAAGTTATACCTAGCGGACACATTTCGCGCGCGTGTAAGATAAGATACAAAGACGAAGAGATCATAATCATATGCATAGCCGAGAACTACGTTCATCAGGGGGCGCTGGTTGGAGTGGTGTTCACAGCGAGATTAATTTGTTGGCTAAACTGAGAGTGCGAGTATCAGCTGTGTCAGTATATCAATCGGCGTCTGTTAAATGTAAATCAAATCAGCATGGAACATCAAAGGGCAGCGATGGCCCAGATAGATGCGCTACATCGAGCCAGAGGTAATAATTAGAATACGGACTTGAACAAGTTGAAGGAATACGAACCAAACAACTATCATTCGTTGTAGTGAGCCGAACGGAACTGCCACGGGCTTCATGGGCACATGGTGTAGTTGGTTATCACGCCCGCTTAGCATGTTTGCGATGGCTTAGTTGCGGGCGGTCCCCGGTTCAATTCCGGGTGTGTCCATATTTTTATACTTGGACAATCGTGGAAATTTTGCTTCCGCTTTCGAGTTTCCAAGTATAGCTCTGTCCTCTCCATCTCTGCTTACTTCCAACTTCCAAAGACTGCCGTTCAAGCTGCAATGCACATCGCGTCTACCGTGAATCCGCTCACGAAGTCCACGAGCGATGTTCCTGTCTTCGTGCTTGCCCACCGCAACGCCGATGGCACGATCGAATCGCGCAAGTTCGTCGCGCGGCCTACGCTCTACGCGGTATTTCCAACTTCTTCTGCGTGTATTCCCTAGTCATTTCATAGTAATATATTGTCCCTAACAGGATCTGATAATAGCAGCAAAGCGGACGTTCGGCCTCGCGGAGGGCACGAGGCCCGTCTTCTCGACCTCGACACTTGACGTATGCCGTGGGGAGAGCATCGATATCGACGAGAGCGCCTACACGTCTCTATATACACTACTAGACGAGGTGGTTGTCACTTTCGTATCCGATCCACAGGTGGAGAGATCGCACGAAGAGGGCGCCCAGGTCAGTGTCAGCTCACAACGCTCTGGTATGTATTTCTTTTATCACATCCACGTGTCCCGACCGGGATATCTCTCCCAATAGCAAGTGCGAACAAAAAGACGCGTAAATCCGAGGTCGCGCGTGAGCTTGCCCACGAGCTCGCGAAGGAGCCCAGCGCGTCACAGCGCATCCCACAATCACAACAACAACCACAACCACAACAGCAGCAGCAACAGCACACAGAACGTGCTCCTGTAGATCTGCTCGATCTCACTGTCTCCCCGCCGCACGAAAAGCTTCCGTCGCGTTCAAAACGTGGATCGCAGGGCTCACCACGACCCCCGCCCCAGCACGAGCGGGAGCAGGACTCAAAGCCCGCGCCGCCCTCAGCGCAGGCGCCTGTTCCTGCCCCGCGCGTCCCGAAGCTGTCAAACAACACCAAACCGCCAGGCAAGTTCCGTCCACACAAGCCGAAGTTTGAACCCGAGCCCGAGCCCGAGCCCGAACCCACGCCTGCACCCGCGCCTGCACCTGCACCCGCACCTGCAGACGTGGTCCCAGAGCAGAAGAACGAGAAAAAGAAGGAGGAGGAGAGGGCGAGGACGCCTGCACCGCGTACGCCGAAGAAATCGCGGTTCGCAAAGCAGAAGCAACGCGCGCCGGAGCCGGAGCCCGAACCTCAACCAGAGCCCGAACCTTTCGAGGAAGAACATGGATCAGCGACTGAGGCCGAAGAGGACCACGGCAATGCAAAGGCAGCACAACTGGCACACGACCGCGCCGCGGAGGAGCAGCGCAGGCGCGCTCTCGACGCCGAAGCACCCGTGTTCGAGGAAGAGGGCGAAGACGACGACTTTTGGCGCTTCGGGACCAAGGAACCCTCGTCTCAACCCACTCCTCCTGCACGTCGCCCGTCGTCTTCGGCCGGGAAGAAGGGGAAGGGCAGGCAGGGAAGCATGAATGCGGAGCTGGAGACGGAGGTGCTGCCTACGGCGAGTGCGAAGAATGGTGGGAAGGCGTTGCGCGCGCGTCGTGAGTTGCTTGGTCTATGAGTGGGTTAGGTTCTCGTGTTCTGATTCAACTTTGCGCTCTAGTATCGGGGGTCGATGCGGCGCGCCTACCTAGGGCGTCGACGCGGCCGTCCGTGCCATTCCACGGTACGTAGTGAATAAAAATGCTATAATTTAAATGCTGACATGCCTGACAGATGAAAAACGCCCGCCTACTCCGAGCGCCAGCAACACTCCCAGCAGCGCCTCGAACGCTCCTTCCAACACCGCCGCGACCAACACCTCCCGTCCAAAGACACCGAACGCGCCACCCCCATCCGACAACGGCGGCGGGCGCTTCACGGTTATCATCCACGGCCCGCGCCCGGACCAGGCGGCGGAGTTCAAGATCCGCGGGAAGTACTCCGTGCGCAAGGTGCTCACGAGCGTGTGTAAGACGTTCGACGCGGACATCGAGCAGTACGTGCATCTCCTACTTTTCTTTTCTTGTCCTCTCTTTTTTTTTAACGACCTGACGCCACTTGCTGTATTGTGTGTGTGTTTAGCTCGCGCCTGCTCCTGCTGGAGGACGACGACGGGACAGAGCGGATGTATATATGCGACCCCGACGAGACGATGGAGGTGTGTGGCGTGCGCCCGGATTCGCAGCTACTGCTCCAGATTGAGGGGGGTGAGGATGAGGATGAGTACAGCGAGGAGGATAATGATGATTGATATATGGATTTACATACATTGTATAGTATTACAGTAATAATAGGCTGCAATTTACGCAAAGTTGAGAAATAATGGTACGTGTACAACTTGTCGGCTCCTTTCCCCCAATGGTTATAACATGAGTTAGTCTCTAGTTTTCACTCCATATCGGTGAGGGCGCATTGAGTGGGGGTAGGAGCCGGACCCAGAACCTGCAGCCGAGGAAGAATCAGAACCGCCCATGAGGCAGAAAGACCACGACTACGACGCGACATGAGCAGCGCATGACCAACTACTAAGTTTAACTTTAGAGGCAATCGAAATCACAAGCTAAGATTCATATTCAAATTCCTTTTACTGTGGCAGTTCCCCGTTGCCATCCATACCAGACCGTAAGCAGATTGTTGATACATTGTCCCAATTCAGAAAACTATGCTACAAAACTAGTCCAGGAAACATTCTCCTTGTCACTCCGCCCACCTCAGACTTAATTAAGCAATGATGATCTTCCTAGGTGCTTGTTCCTGCGCCGTCTTGGGGAACGTCACCGTCAGTACCCCGTTCTCCATCGACGCTTTAATCTCTTCCTCCTGTATCAAACACATCCAGTTAGCACCAACATTCATTGAATATGCACAACAAAGTTATGCACATACCTTAACACCCTGAGGAAGTTGCAGCGTTCTCGACACCTTGCCGAAGCGCCGCTCCCGGACGGCGTAACCGCCGTGCTCATGCTCCTCAGAGATCTTGGTCTCGGCAGAGATCGTCAGCCGCCCATCGCGCAGGTCGATGTTCACGTCTTCC